CTCTACATCCCCCTCGACCCCCCCAAAAAAACCGCCGACAAGCTCCCCCTCGTCGTCTACCTCCACGGCGGCGACTTCGTCCTCTTCAGCGCCTCCACGGTCATTTTCCACAACTTCTGCAACGACATCGCGGCCACTCTCCCTGCAGTCGTCGTCTCAGTCGAGCACCGTCTCGCCCCTGAGAATCGTCTCCCCGCGGCCTACGACGACGCGCTCAACGCCTTGCTCTGGGTTCAGAGCCAGGCGCTCGGGATTGGAGGCCGCGACCCGTGGCTCGAGTACGCCGACTTCTCCCGAGTCTACCTACTCGGGAGCGCCTCCGGAGGTAATATCGTCTACCACGCGGCGCTACGCGCCCTCGATTTCGACCTACGGCCGGTCAAAATCCGAGGGTTGATGCTAAACCAGGCCTACTTCGGAGGGGTGATAAGAACGGAGTCGGAGATTCGTCTTAAAGACGATACGCATGTGGCGTTGTACGTGAACGACGTGCTTTGGAGTTTGGCTCTGCCCCGGAACTTGAATCGGGACCACGAGTTTTGCAACCCCATATCGGGAGGGACGTACTTGGGTCGGGTGTATAGGCTGCCCAAGGTGTACGTGAAGGGGGACTATGGGGACCCGTTGGTGGACCGGTCGGTTCAGTTGGTGAGATTCCTGCAGTCGTGCCGGGTCGAGGTGTATTACCGGTTCAACGAGGGAGGTTTCCACGGAATCGAGCTGCAGAACCGGACTGCGGCGGAACAGCTGTATAACGACATCAAGTGGTTCGTCGGAGGCGGAAAGGTGGCGATGCCGGAGGGGGTCGCTGCCCCCGGTCATGTTGCAGATCAGTGATGTGATGTATGGAATCGAAATGGGTTTTTTTTTTGGGTGTTTAGTTGTTGTCGGTGTTGATTAAATGTGGACTTTTCCCGGAGATGGGAATGAATAATGATGCATTTGCACGGTGTTGATTAAATGTGGACTTTTCTCTCGGATATGGGAATGAATAATGATGCATTTGCACGGTGTCGATTGAATGTGGACTTGATGGGGAATGAACTATGATGTATTTGAACGGTCTTGATTAATTGTGGACTTTTCTCGGGATATGGGAATGAATAATGATGCATTTGCACCTTGTGCGTTTGAGTTCATACTTATCTTTATACAACTAAAGCAACATAAACTTTAGCGGTAATATTATTAGTTCATTTTGTAAAAGATGATATATAATCACCAAGTATGAATAATAGTTATAATGAAAAGAATAACTTCTCCTTTGTTTTTTTTTCTAGTACTTTCTGAAAAAGGAAAGAATATGGAGTATAATTTAGCAACCGATGTCAATATTATCGCCTCATGAAAAAGGATAAAAGAGTTAGTATTATTAGTATAAGCTATAAATGTGCACGGTGCTAGTTAAAAAAAATATACTTAAATTTTAAAAAACTGAAAAAGATACATTTTTTTTATTTAAATTTCACATAGTTTAACAAATATTGTATTTAAAATTAAATTTAAAAATGACACTCCTCGCTAATTTTTTTTCTATTCGTGTATGATGACTATAGATAAATTTGTCAAATGATATTTTTTTTTTAATTTTCTGTTAGTATTAATAGATAATTTCTTTTTTACAATAAAAATAAATATATTTATTTAATTTTTTATATACTTTATAGATGTCCAATTAAAGCACGAATTTTAAAATATTATTTATAATTTAAGATTGTTGAATGTTTTATAATTTAAAAGTCCTAATAGATTTGAATAGAGTTCAGATCTACATAGACTACTGCGAAGTACCAAAAATTGACACACAAAATGCCAAAATACGACAGACGGATGGGATTATGAATTATCAAATATTGACACATATGCTTGGGAAACTCTAACAAACAAAAAAATCAATAAATTTGGAAATATATTTATAATTTCAATTGATATAATGTTTTATATTTTAAAAGTCATAATAAACATAATTAAAAGTTTAAATCTTGATCTACTAGTCCGAAACATCTCAATTTGATGTTCATGTTTATAATTACAAAATAAAAAAATTGCTACATTTTAAATAGAGATGAATGTAATGGGATTGGTTTCTCCAACAACTGGGCTAAGTTTAACTTGAGCCTAGTTTTAAAGAGAAACGGGTTGAGGCCCGTTTGATCAATTTGTTGAGCAGGCTACATATATTTCATGTTGGTCCTAGCAAGATTGCCAAGGGCCCAAGTTCAACTGGACTTGCAACAATATTTTTTCGAATACCCACATAACCTACTGATCTTATTGGAAACAATCAAGTTTTAATTGAACTAAATTAAGTCAAATTTCAATATCACCTTACTTTTCGAAGTAATATGAACTTCGCCTGACAACATCAAAATTCATGATTCTGAGTTATGTAGATGGTGTGTGGCGTGAGAATAGTCAATGAAAATTGTCACAAGATCAACTCACTTAGAAATTAAAAAGTAAAAAAGTAAAAAAGCATAACGAATTTATATAATTTTCGCATAAATACTTAAAATACAAACAGCTGAAACTGCATGATGCTGAACAGTTAATCGTCTAATCACCCATAACCAAGTTAATATTCGGTTCAAGGTAAAAGGGAACAAAATACTTCTATAGCTTTGGCAGAAAAAGAGAGAATGGGCACAGGTCAACAAATGCCTCAAATGCAGATCAACTTTATTGATTGGTAAAAAAATGCACGCTTTCTTTTTTATTCTAATAGCATTCACAGGTCAAAGATTATTGGGTGTCAATCTTTGAACCCAACTTGTAAAGAAGGATACTCTTGTGAAGCCATTCTGATTGAATTATTTCATCACAAGTTGATAAGTACTGAAATGGTTTCATTTCAACAACCCAATAAAAAATTTATCTTTCTAAACCCTCTCTTTGTGGATTCACACCCATTATTCAGTGGGGCCAAGTACAATAACTCAAAAGTAAGATAACTATGAACTCAATCACTCATCAGAAAACACATGGGACCTATTCTAATTTCTCAATGCTGAAATCAATGCTCCTTTTGAATAAAGTTTGCCTCTTTCTGTTGGGCAGCAGATAAGAGAGCAAAGGTAAAATAATTTGCAGGGTCCCAAAAGAGTTATATCATCATCTCCACACTTCACAAAAAGCAAGCTCATCAACAAAACTAGTGTGCACTAAAAATCCCTTAGTACAAGAGCCCTCTTCCATAAAGTGAGGAGTATTTAATATTTATGATACATCATTTGATACATATACTACACCTACACTTTATGCATGGAATTCCTACAATGTCAACAAGAATAGAATGGAAGGCAACAAAACAATTAACTGAATAAGAGTTGCATTCATCATTTCCTAAACTAAAAGAATTCAAAACATAAAACTCAGACAAAAATTATTTTTCAGCCAAAAAAAAAAAATAAAATAAAAAAATCACCGCACCTTTTTTCTCGACTTAAACGGGAAACTCGTCGGGGGAGATGGCGAGAACTCAAACGGCAGAACGGGCGGCTCGGACTCCCCCGAAAGCATCCCCACAATCTCTCTTACGGTGGGGCGCTTCTCGGGAGAACGCTGCAGGCACAGAAGCCCGACTGTCAAGCACAGCACGGCCTGCGTGCTGTCCAGCGACTCTATGCCCGGGTCCACGAGTTCCAGTAGCCGCCCGCCGAGCGCCAGCTGGCGGGCCCACGATATCAAGTTGGCCCGTTCGAACTCCGGCACAGGGGAAGCCGTGACCTGCAGAGGCCTCCTGCCCGAGACCACAACTAGTAGGAGAACCCCAAAGCTGTACACGTCACATTTTTCCGACAAAGGAGCCCCAGCACTATACTCGGGAGCTATGTAGCACACAGTACCCCTCATACTAGGTGTGCTGCTGATATTTCCGCTTTTAGGAACATCGTTATTATTATTATTGCTACCCAAATCTCGGCTGCTTCGCCTTCCAATACGGAACTCGCCGCTAAAACTCTCAAACCACCGGTCGAGGCTAGTCCGGCTTCCTTTGCTTCTCCTTTTCCTCTCTTGTGTACAGTCGTGATCATCCTTTTGCCACCATAATTGGTCTTCTCCTTCGTGAGTTTCCGGTTTGGGCCCTCGTTTTTTCTTCTTCTTGGCGAGCTCGTCGCAAAATTCTTCTTTCCACCATTCTCTAGGCTTCCGGTTATTGTTCCTTTTCGTGGCCTCACGGTCGAGCGAGGCCCACCACTCAAGCTTTTTCTTCCTCTGCTTCTTTTGCTCGGATTTGGTGACGGCATCTCCATCGATCGAGCTAGTGGACTTGACCCATTCCTTCTTGGGCCTTTCCTTGTTGATCTCATTCCCAATCCACTCCATTACGTAGTCCTTTACTCGACCGGAATCGGATAATCCAGTTGTGTTTTCTTGCTTCCACCACCAGTCCTCGCCCTTTTCCTTTCCTGTTTTGATTTCTTTTTGAACGTTTGCACTATCAACGCTCGATCGATCCGGAACCTCATCGGATGGAGATTTCTCTGAGGCATTTGCAACTTCTTCATCATCATCGTCGAGTATTCTCAAGCAATAAGCATCATCTGGAGATTGATCGACGTTCAAAACGACAGTATCTTCTGTCACGAGGCTCTCGTTTTCTTCAATAATCGACCCGTAATCTTCCCCTTTCTTCCCAACCTTCTCATCCTCTTCGGCACCCGTCGTCGATAACTCGTCCTCACGACTCAACACATGAGCTAAACCAAAATCGGCAATCTTAGAATCAAAATTAGAATCCAGCAGTACATTCGAAGGTTTGATATCGCCATGAACAACAGGCGGATCGCAGGAATAATGTAAATACTCGAGCCCCTTGGCTATGGAGATTATAATCGCAAACCTTTTATCCCAGTGCATCAACTCGGGGCACTTCCGATCTAATAGAGCGTCCTGTAAACTCCCATTCGGCATGTACTCGTACACCAGCGCCAATTTTCTCCCTCTCCTTCTCTTCCGGCGGCCGTAACATCTAAATCTGCTGTAGTCGCCGCCTCTATTCTCGGAGGTCGAGAATCCGAGCACGCAGACGACGTGAGGGCAGCAAGCGGTGTCCATGCGCGTGGCAAGGGAAAGCTCGTTGTGGAACTCGCGCTCGCCTTGGATTGAGGCCTCGCTCGTCAGCTTGACGGCGATCTCCTGGCCGGAGGGGAGGGTTCCCCTGTGGACGGAACCGAATCCGCCCTGCCCGATGCGGGTTTCGGCGGCGAACGAGTCGGTGGCGCGGCGGAGGAGGGACAAGGAGAACCTCTGCGGCGGGAAAGGGGGTTTCAGATCCGCCGGGGCGGTCCGTCTGCGCTTGATCTTCCGGTACAGGACGACGGATAGGGAGAAGAAGGCGAGGGCGATTGCGGCGGCGAGGAGTGGCGGGAGGAGAGGGGTGCGGCGGTGGTGGTGGAGCACCGCCGGCGGCGGCGGCGGCATTGTGATGGGAATGTGGAAGTAGAAACGGAGTAGTGGAAGAAGAAGGAACCAACTCTAGTGCGTGTTTTTGTGAGTGGGTTTGTGTGTGAGAGAGATTTTGGTTTGTTTATGGTTATGGAGCTTCGTCTGCTACCTCTCAGCTGTGTTTTTTTGTCAACTGGTGAGACAAACGCTACAGCTACGGTGCTGTGACAGTGCTTGAGGTGAACGTCTGTGGGCCCACACGTGAGAGAGAGAACGGAATCTGATTTGGATATATATTGAATTGAAGTAAAAGTTGGAAATATAGGTCAATTTAGGCTTGACTCTTTTTTTTTTTTTGGTACAATGAACCTTCCGGTTTCCGAATCCCCGAGGGGACCGACTAATCCGAAATCGAGCCGGGTAGGACCACAAGGGCGGCAAAGCTCTACCTCAAGAGTTTTAACACAGCTGCATTCCCAGGGCTCGAACTCGAGACCTCTGATTAAGCTGGGAGAGACCCCAACCATCTCACCCACGTGCTCTTGGGTAATTTAGGCTTGACTCTAACTCATATTTACTTGCTTGTTTTTCCCTTTGGAATGTATTCACCATATGGAGAAGATGAATAAAGAATAAATTTTATGTTATATAAAGCATGACGAAAGGAATGCATATGATCCACATTAAATTTGGATATTTTCAAATATTTGTATGGTTTCATTTTGAGCAGATGATGATAAGGAAATACAAAAGTAGGATTTTTGTACGTCAATCATAATTGTTCATATTTTGTTAGTATTCATAAGTAGTTGAATATATACTAATATATATTTCCCACCCTTTTTATGCGCAATCGAATTAGTGCTACAAAACCTTTTTATGGCAGCTAATTGTTTATATTAGCAATGTAAACAATTTAGTTATTTATATATATAGGCCATACCTATTATATTATGCGCAAAATGAAAAGGACAACCTCTATATTCCTTTCAATTCTTTCAGAAAAAGCTGCTGACTTTTTTTGCTGACGAATCAGGATTTTACTTGCAATTATTTATGCAATATTTCTGTATTTGATTATAATACAACCCAAATGCCCGAGTCATCTTTTTTCACTTAAACCAACTAAGGGACGTTATTTATTGGGTGACACATGATAAAGAAGAAATAAAAATAATAAATTTTATTTTCCAATTGACTCTGTGGTGTAGGTTGTGGAGCTAGTTGGACAAATGTAATATAATTATTGATTATTGATTGAAAAGAAAAAAGTTAACTATAGAAATGAGTAGACCATATATCGAATAGGGGTATTCAAGCGGTCCCCAAATATAAGCAAAGGCTCGACTCGTTTAGAGCATGTTTGGATACAAAATTTTTCAAAAAAATCCAAACATTTTTAACTCAACCACTTTTTTTAACTCAACTTTAACTCAACCCCACTATCATTAATATTATCAATATAATTAAATAATATCAATCAATCATTCTTACACACCACCTAACCTTAATTCACTATTCATCCACTCACATAATTTTAACTAACCATCACTTCAAATTTTCTCTCACCTACTTTACATCAAATCAATTTTAATCATTTTATTTTAAATATTATTTAATATACCACTAACAACTAACCATACCAACTTTTTCAAAATTAACCAAACCAAACAAAAAAATCCAAACAAAACCAAAATTTTTTATATCCAATCATCCTCTTAGCAATTCCAAAATCATAAATGAGTTTTTTACAAGCATTCGTGCACTTTTGAACATTATCGACTTATTTTTTAATAAAAAATTATTTATTATATAATAAAAATTAATAGATAGATGAATAATGGTAATGTATCGACACAACTTATTCATAAAAATTAATTAATATTCAATGTATATAGGCATATCATGATTCTCTAGATACTTTTAATTAATTTGAAGATAAAGATGAATAAAAGTACAAATAACTATTGTCTATTACCTGAAACTTACACCTATGATTAATAAGAACAGAAAAGTAACAACCGTTTAACAGCTCAGTTCGATTACATCGATATGTACAAGTTTTAAAAGTTTTAGTTTTATTTTTATTAACTAAACATTTTATTTATTACTTTTTTCATATTTATTAGTAAGTGTTACAAATTAAATATTTTTAGTATTATTTAACAAAGTTAATAATTTTTTCCTTTTATATGATTTATATATATATATATATAACTTTTAGATTTGTTAAAAAATGCATAAGATTAAGCATAGAACTTTTTGGGTAATAAATTATATATTAATCAATTGTACATCTTTGTAATATATTATATATAATTACAAATTTTTTCATTAATATTATATTCAAATATAAAATGTTTTTATTTCGTACAATTTTTTTGATAAAAAATTGGTTTATTAGAGTAATACAAATTAATAGATAGATGAGTAATGGTAATATATTGATATAATTTATTGCTAAAAATTAATTAATTTTCTAAGTATATAAGCATAACACGATTCACAAGATATTTTTAATTAATTTATAGATGATCATATGATCTAAATCAAATCGTGTTGCTCAAACGGTATCCCATTCGACATGAAAATAATTAGACTGAGTTTTAGTATTATACAATTTTATAAAATTGTTCTAACCTTCTTTTACGCAAATAAATTAAGTAGATTAGAAGTTTATGCTGCAAAACACGCATTCAACAATCAATTTCTCATATTATTGCAAAATTATTCTTTTTTTATAGGTTATTTTAAAAAAAATAAAAATTATTTCGATACTTTATGGGCGTTATAAGGACAAACATTACCGACTTCAAAATTTTTACTCATATTTATCAAAAATAAATGAGTAATGGTGATATATGATATAATTTATTGGTAAAAATTAATTAATTTTCAGAGTATATAGGCATATCTTAATTAATTTTCAGTGTATATAGGCATATTCTATAGATATCTTAATTAATTTGTAGATAACCGTATGATCAAAAATTAAATCATGTTGCTCAAGTAGTATCTCATCCGAGATGAAAACAAATTGATTGAATATTAGTATTACACAATTTCATAAAATTATTCTAATCTTATTTTATGTAAAGAAATTGAGAGATTGGAAGTTTAGGTTGCAAAACAATTATTCAACAATTTATCTCTCATACTCTTACACAATTTATTCTTATAGGTTATTTTAAAAAAATATTCTATAGTTTGTGATTGTTGTAAGGACAATTTTAAATTGTTTACTTATAGTTATTAATAAATATATAAAATTAAAAAAATATTGTTGAGACAATTATCTTATTTGATAGGATACTGACAGTTAAATAAGCACTCAAAATTTTATTAAGAAAATCATAAAAGCATTTAAGAATCTTGAAATAATATCAATAAAAAAACTATTATACAAAATTTTTAATTATCATCGTTTATAGAGAGTCCATCTTGAAAATCAATTGCCTAAATGAAGTAATAATAATTAAAATGTCATATATTTTTATTAATAATTGAATTGAAAACTTCAATATTTGAAGTGTTAGTAATTAAAATATTACACAATTTGATATTAATCACCTAATGGCCAGGTGAAGATTCGTTAACATTATTGGTTTTGTGACAAAAAATTGAAAATACAAACCAACAAACAAATATTTGTGTACAAGTGCATGTATTTTAGTATCTTTTGTTTCAATTATTTAATCTTCCATTGCATAAAATGCTAATTTTTCTTTCTATGAATTATCGGCTGTGTCTATGTGGTTGTGTTCTACTTGGTAGAGCTTCATGTATCACATTCAGAATTCAGAGCATATTATGAGTATCTTATCCATCGTTTTTCCTTTTTTAGCCATTTGATATTTTTACAGATTCATTGGCTCTTTTATAATAGTATAGATATAGATATAGATAGATATAGAATAGATAGATAGATATAAATATAGATAGATCATTGACTCTTTTATAATAGTATAGATATAGATAGATATGTTCACTTTGATAAAACATAAATTATATAGAACAAAATGAATAATTTATAATATTTCTTCTTTGAATATCGTGATTAGAGTCCAAAATTTATAAATTTCCAATGGGATTGAGTTTTTCTTTTTAATTCAACTACTTAATTTGATTACAATTTTATCATTAAAAATATATCATATACGAGGATTTTTAATTCGTTCAAATTTTTACAAAATCACTCGTCTTTTTATAATAGTATAGATATAGATATAGATAGATAGATGAAAAAATGTTACTATGTCTACGTAGGAGTAGATAAATAATGCTGTCTGAGCAGCTACTTCACAAAAAGTGAAACTGTGAACGTGAAAAGGTACCTTATCACGTGAGTCCAACTGCTACGGTTTCACTAAAAATATTACTCTATGCATTTCAGGCTTTCCTCGAGACGAGTATATGATGTAGTATATTTTATTTTATTCCGTCCTTTTCTAAAGTCATACATACATGGACATGATAAGTCCTAATAACTAAATACTAATAATAATTCAAAGCATTTTTAGTTAATCTCAGTTGGTTGATATAAGACAAACAAATTTATTAGGCATCGTTTGGTTGTAGGAATCCTAGCAATAAAAGTCTAAAACACATGAGATCTGGTGTGCCACTTTTCTACTCCATTTTCTATTTTGTTCTAGTGAAACATGACACATTTGCATTATAGCCCTCATATTTTTAATTTTTTACACATACAATTCATTAAATTTAATGAAATATAAATTGAAACACATAATTGAAGATGTTACATAAAATAATTCAAAATAATGAAAAAAAAAATCCTTTTGAAGTAAAATGTAGATTAAACTTAATTTTTGATCCACTTTACGGTAAGTATTTTTTTTTTAACTGGAAAAGAAACTTATCATTAACAAATCAACCAGAATCTCAATCATTACAGATAAGTTCCTTAAGCCAATGTGGGAAAACATCCGCCTCCCATAAGAAAGGGGAGTTTGAAAAAGAAGCAAAACGTGCAAGAGTATGAGCGACATTATTGGCCGAGCGTCGCATATGATGAAGGTGTCTAGCCGCTGCCGCTTGAGACATGAGTACATCAATATCTTTAGACCACGAACGAATATAGCCATGAGTCTCGTTGAAGTCTGTAACTGCTTGTACCGCCAACAACGAGTCCGTGTAAATGAAGAGAGGGATTTGTTTCAACAAGCCACATTTAACCAATCCTTCTTTGATTGCCAAAAGCTCACAATGGATAACTGAACCCGGATTATTGACTTGCATTCCGAAAGCAAAAATAGCTTTTCCTTGATCATCACGAACTCATTTGTTCAATTAAAGCAAAAATAGCAAAAATACGGTAAAGTACTTACTACAAAGAGTAAAGATGAGTGTTGAATTAAGGATTTAAAAAATCATCCAGATAGGTCAGATCATTCAAAATCAGTTATGTTTCATAAATAAACTTATGCAAATGGACTTTTCCAAAAGTTCCTATCCTCCATTTCTATAGAATGGACTTTTCCAAAAGTCCATTATTAATTTAACACCAAACATAACCTATTTATCTAAACGGACTTTTGCACTCAAAGGTCCACTTGAAAAGTGTTATCAAAACAAGTATTATCACATAACGAAATACACATAATACATCACACAATTCACGTCACAACACTACGAAAACGCACATAAATATATCAAAAGCTAATCACAAGTACTTTAAATTCACAAAAGAGAGATGGAGAAAAAAAAAAGGAAGAAAAATAGTATGCTGTGATTGTCAATTCAATTCCAAACTTACAGTGGCTTTGCACCTCCTCCATTTTCCTGAGGATCAACTGGCGTTACGTAGTCTTCTTAAACGGGCCAGATGGCCCACCTGTAATGGTCCGGCCCATGAACTTTTCAGCTTTGCTCAGGCCACTGCCGACAAGCCCGGCCCCAGCGCCAATACCGTTCCTGTTCTAAGATCCTGTAAGGCGGCCAGCTGCTTGTCTTTGTTGAATTCGTGGTACTGTACAACACCTGAAACCAATGGCACACGCCTTCTAAGCAGGCGAACCCTCACATCCCATTAATCAATTCAAAAATACCCAATTCACATTATGCATTGTTTACTTTAAAAAATATCTTGCTTCAAAAAGGATGAAAAATTTGTGAGTTCATAAGTGTGGTTTTGATTATTAACTGTTCTTTTTCCTTTTTTTAATGTATGCATTGGTAAGCAATATAAGCCAACTTATAGCTTATTTGGTTAGTCTATAAGCTTTTTGTATACGAATAAACTTGGTTTGGTAGAAAAACTTAAGCTTATCTCATAGCTTATTTAGGTAGCTATTTAAATAAACTTGTTGAAATTTTTATAGCTAATTTTATCAAACACTTTTATCATATCAGCTAGTTTTTCAGCCATAAGCCATATACATAAATTAGCTATAAGCTCGGAAACACTAATAAGCTATCAATTATAAGCTATAAGCCCGAAATTCACTAGTAAGCTATCAACTATCAATTATTAGCTTATCATCTTGTTTTACTAAATATAGCCTATACACAGTCAAACAGTAAAGCATGTACCTGAAGAGTTACAGTGCCTCCATCTTTCTTATCTTTAATTTTAAGCACATCAAGTGATGGGAGCAGCCTTAGCTCGAAATCTTTTGATTTCCAGCTTCCAACTCGATAAGAGGTAACTTTGTAATGCTCAATGTCTTGATCAAATACCTGTTCCCAACACAAGGAATGTGCTCATTCTTCAAAAGCAGAGAAAAAAACACCATATATCAGAGGAAAAAAAGAAAAAAATGGAGATATTGAAAATCTCGATAATGAGAGACTGCACCTCCTTGTCTAGTACATACATTACTTGAGTGTCATTTCATGAAATTTAACTTTTTTTTCCAGATCAATCATTTCGTTCTCACTTATTCGTCTGCAGCTCTCCATAATAACGATGTGAAAACAATAAATATATAAATACATGAAGAAGCACATCGTGGATTTACCTGGTATCTAAAGGTATACCACCAATGGGGACAACAATACTGTGGGGGCCATTGTAGCATATCCATCACAATTGTATTAACAGTGTCCTTGATGAAGTGAACAATTAGTTAGTACATTGCACTTGAGAAAATTCAATGAACGGAGAAGGAAAAATATCAAAACTCACATCGATCATATCCGAAATCCCAGGAATAGCTGTTAAACTTCCACCAACAGCCTTCAGAGTAAATGATCCGCTGAGTGACATCAGAGAGCACAAATGATATACAATCATATATAAAAAAGAAACATCATGAAGAACAATCTATACCAGAAAAAGCTATCAATCATCGATAAACTAGCTCGAAGAAAAATGCAAATCTATTCAAAAAATTTGTCTGTGTACTTTCCACTATATATCAGGGGGTATATTAATAAAGGTACATGGAAATTGTATGAATCTTACATGGGAGTAAGATTCATATAGTTGATATCTAGCACAAACATAGAGGGCTCTATAAGTCTCAATAGCTCGAGAAAAGATAATAAAGAATAAAAAGTCTGATATTCCAATTAATTAAATAATATGCTTGAAAAATCATGATAGGATTGGCCTTGCAAAATACTTCATATAATCTGCTGTAACGGAAAAAAAAAATGCGTGTAGCTTGATTCACAATGATGAAAGTAGAAAATTGACTGAAACGTGAACATTTAAGAATGAAGTTAACGGTTCAACAGATTCTTTAATAACAGCCTCTGCTGCCTGAAAGAAAACCATTCAATGAATGTAGCAGCGACCTTACCTGATATCAAATTCTGCGGCAAATATGCAAAGCAAAAGCTTCAACTGTCAACTCATCTTATTTCATATAGGATATAAATCAACATCTATATCCATATAAAAAGAGTGAACTCTATAAATAGAATATAGACAGCTATGATTCTCCTACCCTTATTCACTTAATAAAAGAGTGCTACAATTATTTTAACGTTTTAGTAACTTTTTCCTCCTGAGTACTATAAATGCTGAAAACTTCTATATTTAGGAATGAACAAAGTATGGCAGGGGCTTTGCTCATCAAGCAGTGAGTAAGCTTACATCGGCAACAATACATATGACCACAATTTACCCATCTGTTTATTCAGCCATTTCACCTGATATAAACACCATAATAAAATGAACATCAATGCCTAATACAATGTGTCCATAGAAGAGAAATGAAGCGGCATATGTTCAGATAAACTTGCTTTATCTAACACTGGGGAAAGGACAATATGTCCAGATTCCCACGAAAATGCACATCATAAACACAAATCACATTCATAACATACTAAGAAGGTTTCCCTATGTGCTTCCAAAACTAATCCTCTTCAATTCAAATACCAGAGTAGTATAGCTATGTGGAAATCCATAATCATCTTACAAGTAACTGAACTAAAACAAACACTGACTATCATCATCATCATCATCATCATCATCTGATATTTACACCAAACATACATTCCCAACTCAAATCAGTAAACAAAAAACTCTTACAAACAACCTAACCTGCTCGAAAACAGGAAATGATATCCACTCCGAACAATTATCCCCACAAATCTTTTTCATATCCACCTTGTTCAGGGAGCTTAGTAGTTTAATGTCAACCGTCTGCCGCCACAAAGAAAAACAACAAATATACGGTGAGATTTCCATCGAAAAATCCACAAAAACAATTAATCAAGGCACATGATCAAAAGGCTAAGCATTGAAGCCTAAAATATGGCAATACAGATCAGTCACAACTTCAGCAGTTACTCAAATTTCAATATGCAGCTTCGAACTCACATTTTCAATAAACATGAAGAAAATCAAACTACAAAGAGTTCAAGGAAAACAAAAAAGGAGAAAAACCTTAGCAGCACGCTTCCTGCTGCGATAGGCCATCATGTAGCTCCAGGCCGCCATTAACGCGATCCCTATAAGCATCCCCATCACCATTCTAGATATCAACCCCATAATTCTTATGCTCTTTCTTATTTTCCCTAAATTATCTCCAAAATCGCAGACAAATCCTGAATTCCCACCTTTTCCCCAGCAAAAACAGTAGGCAGATGGAGATTTTACGTTACGGAGCCGCTAGCTGAAACTAATATTGACTGCTATTAATGTCTAATATAGGCAATTAACTATCAATCACTGTGATTGTTTATCAATTCATCTAGAAATTAATTAGTTTTTTTTTTAATTATAGTTACTTTTGAAAAAAGTTAGTATAGTTAGTTGTTAGTGGATATATTAAAATAATATTTAAAATAAAATAATTAAAATTGATAGATGTAAAAGTAAGAGAAAAATGATTGGAAATGATGGTTAGTTAAAATTATGTGAGTGGATGAATAGTGAATTAAAATTGATGTGATGTGTAAGAATGATTGGTTGGAATTATTTAATTATATTGGTAATAATGGAAATAGTGGAGTGGTGTTAAAGTTGAGTTAAATTTGAGTTTTGATTGGTTTTTTTTGAATTGGATTGATAAACAATCACACCCTTATCACTCCATTATCTGTGAAAGTGTGTGTGTGTGAAACTGATGAAACAGTTATTAAAACATTTTTTTTTTATGTGTGTAAAAATTTAATTAAAATTTTAAATTAAAAAGTATTTTATCTATTTGTTTATTTATTTTTTAACGACTGGAGGTACACGTTTATTCCAAGAGTTACGTTTATTCCAAGAGTTCACCACGAACTGCCTGCCCCACGAGGTACGAGCCTCACCCAGAGGTGTGCCATTCATGCAATGTTTTATTAAAATTTTTATTTTGAAAAACTAATCAAATTTATTTATAAATTTTATTATTGATTCATTTTCTAGTTATTTTACTTTTTCTTATTTCATATTAATATTAATTATTATTTTTAATCTCGTACTAATTTACAGTAAAAAAAAATCTTCCACTTAAACTAACAAATAATAACTTATATATATTCATTATATTTAAATATGTATTTTTATTTATATTAAAAATAATTTTAAACATATTATAATTTATTTAAAAAAATAGATCGGTTCAAACTGGTCGACCGGGTTTTTTTTCAACCAATCACCAACACTTTCGAGTCATTGTTTATTTGTGTTTTTGATAAGATGTTAAAAGTTACTATGCACGACAATTGTAGCTGGAACAAGACGACTAGATTAATTGGCCAAATGTTTCTTTTCTTGCTACTCGGGTACTAAATACTAATCAATGTTATACATATCTAAATGTATGATATAATGTTTAAGGTTTTATCATGAGGAAGTCCATATAAAGTTAAACAGATTATAAGATTTATAATTATTAGTGGTTCCCAAGAACTTAGGACAATAACAAAACTATCAATATGTGCATATGGAACTTGATCACTAAGCCACTTAGCACAAAACATGCAATGCAAAATGCCACATTGCCTTTTGTTTTAGAGAACAACAAAAAAATAGAAAGTAGTAGTGTTCAAACACAAAACAACAATGGATTTCCTCTTTTAAGGACACCATAAGTAGTGTTCAAACTTGAAGCATTATGACCTCATGTCCACGGGGACCGCCTTGAGAGGCACGGCTTTCTCGACCGAGAGCCCGAACTTCTCATCCATATCCAAATCTCCCGGGTCGACCCCTCCCTCGAGCCGCCACCCGAATCCCCCCACCAACGTCGCAATCATGAGGTGCAACATACGATGCGCAAGGGGCAAGCCAGGACACATTCTCCTGCCAGCCCCAAACGGTATCAGCTTGAAATCATTACCTCTAAAGTCGACTTCAAACTCTCCCAAAAACCGCTCGGGCCAGAAGGCATCCGCCTTGGGCCACACGTTGGGGTCCCGACCGATGAACCAAACGTTGATCAAGACTTGCGCACCCTTAGGGACGATATAGCCGTTCACCTCGACATCGGCGCTTGCCTCACGAGGAACCAAGAAGGGTGCGGGTGGATGAAGTCGGAAAGTCTCCTTGACCACGGCTCGTAAGTAAGGGAGGTTCGAGATGTCCGATTCTTGAACTAACTGCGCGCCGATTTCTCCGTTGATTTTGTTTCTGAGCGTCGTTAGCTTCAAAGGGTTGCGTAGGAGCTCCGCCATCACCCATTCCACCGTGCTCGATATGGTGTCCGTGCCGCCAACCAACAATTCCTAAACGAAAGTCGACCAAGTAAATGAAAATCAAGTTTTAAAAAAAAACGCAATTAGGCGTAAAATTATTACCGGTAGGAGATTACGAATATCATCCTTGCTCAAGTCACCCTTGAGATGAAGATCAACGAGCGACTCGAGCAAATCGTCCTTTTCGCCCCTACATTGTCGAAACCTCTCCTCAACAATCCCATAGCAAATCTCGAACAGCTTCCCGTAATAGTAATCCGCGTCCCGTTGGATCCCTTGCGGGTCGACTCGTTTCAAAACCGGGAAAAAGTCCACAAGATTCGAGCTCCCGAGGCACCTCATCGCGCCCGTGACAACCTCCCTGACCCCACGAGTCGAGCCCGACCCGAACCCGCCGAACTCCTTCGAGAAGAGCGTGGCCGACATCAAGTTCAAGGACGTGGTGAACGCGGCCTCCCCAACATCCACGGACCGGCCCGAATCGCGGCACGACGCCACAAAATCGTACAGCTGGCCCAACTTCTCCCTCCTCAGGCCCTGGCCCGATTCGAGCCGTGGGCCCGAAAACATCTGCTCCTTGCATATCTTGCGGAGCTTGCGCCAGGGCCCGCCCACAGGGAGCCACGTAATGAAGAACTGGTCTTGGCCTAAGGTCCGGCCGGCGGCCGGGATTTTCCGGCTGGAAAGTGCCAGGTCATGTCGCTGGAGCACGGCTCTGGCAGTCTCAGGCGAGGATATGACGACAGTTGTCATGGCTCCGAGCTTGAGGGACATCACGGGCCCGTGTTTTTTGGCCAGCCTGGCGAGGGACTGGTGAGGTTTTGGGCCGAGGGAGAGGATGTTACCGATGATGGGCCAGGGAAACGGGCCCCGAGGGAGCTTCGCGGGCTTTCGGGCCTTGGTGTTGAGGATAAAAAGTGAGAATCAAGGTGATTGAAATCACTAGAGCTAGTAGAGGTGATAATTTATCCATGATCAGCTAGGATTTTTTTTTTTTCTTTATTTAGCTTTCTTTTCGTTTTTTTTCGTGATTTGAATGAATGTTTTGCCAATGATTTATGGATGGAAAGTGTAGTACGGTGAGTTGAATGTGTAGATCTATAGATTACAAATTAGAGCATCTAGCAGTTAGCTGGGATTTGGGAGCTAGCAACTAAAAATATTTGCTTTTTAAAAACAAAATAGGCATTTTGGCAAGTAGCTTAAGCAAATGTATTTGGAAAAGATTGGTTAAGTTAACTAGGTATGTAGAGAGGGCATTATATATATAATCTCGAGTGATAAGTTCTGTAAGCATAATCAAATTTTGATGGCTATCAGATCCAAAAGGAACCTAAGGCTCCCTGTTGTTGGATAATAATGCAAATGTTAGGTCGTTAGAACCGTAAAAATATTATTTTAACTTCATCAGGATACATTTGTTAAATGACTAAAGGCAAACAGTAACACAGGGTTGACTAAGTAATTAATGAGTCTTTCTTTTTCAGTCATGGATTTGTTGTAATGTGTAAACAGGGTTGTGTATGTGTACAACCTTTTCCCCTAACTTCATTCTAATTATTTGAAACTTCAATAACTTTTTTATTCTTCCTTATGTTGTAATTCCTTAAGAAACTCCCATAAAGCCTGTTCTTGGAACTGCATAGATGTCGAGTGTCCCTTTGATATGAAGTGTAAACATGATCCTATAAGTTACTTGCTTGCACTCATCACTTAATCGGAACTTGAAGAAATGCAAGAGAGCTGCAGATACTATCTTCATCTGCCGATACGCGAAATCCCTTCCCAAACAAGTCCTTGGGCCAGCCTGCAACAGAAAAAAAAAATAAAAAAAAAATCAAATCTATAAGTACACACATGTTGGTAAAAAAAAATTACCCGAACGAGTCTAGCCACATATAAACTTACATGAAAAGAAACGAATTTGAACGGTGACTCGGGTTGAAAAGTCCCGTTTTTGAGCCATCTTTCGGGTTTAAACTCTTCAGCATCATCTCCCCATAAATACGCCATACGGCCCATAGCATACGCCATGTAATATACGCCGTCGCCTTTTCTCAATTTGAATCCATCCGGGAGAGTATCGTCTTTTTCCGCGCACCTTCCATCCTAATCATCGAGAATTTTTTTTTTTTATTTTGACTTTATTTCACAAAATGGATTGGAATAGAATTTATTTATTTATTTATTTTTTTTTTTTTTTACCACAGGGACAGCAGGGTATAGCCTCAAAGTCTCGGTCAACGTTGCATGAAGATAATGCATTTCGTCAAGTGCTTCGTCTGTAATGCTTTGGACAAATTCATCAACGCTAATTTCATTAGTGCCGTGTGGAGAAGGAGAAACATTAATCACCTTCTCGATTTCTCGCACGATTTTTTCTTGAATCGTTGGATACTTGCAGAGGATGTAAATAAACCAAGATAGAGTGTTTGCAGTTGTGTCTTTGCCGGCGATTATAAAGCTTAGAATAATGTCCCTTAAATATTGATCTGACATCGTCTCAGGATCCTTCTTGCTCTCGACAAGGAATCTCGAAAGTATGTCCTCTTTGTTGTTCTTCGGTTAATTCATGAAAAAATTTCGACAGCAAGTGAGTAAAAAGCTATAGAGTTTCCCCTCTAAAGCTAAATTTCAGTTTCGGTCAACTAAAATATTGTACCAATTTTTTGATGACAACAAAAAATAATGTAAAACTTATCGAACACGCGAAGAACATTATGTATATACATTGTACTCACAAAATGCTGTCCCTTCTCCAATTCTAGTCTCTTGTTCTTGATCACTTTGTCCAAAAAGTTGTGAATAAACTCGATGTTCTTCTTCAAAGTGGCTTCCCCACCGATGTTGAAGTATCGCTTGATCTTCCAAAACGGGTCGACATAACGCCAATACACTAACTCACTCGAGTCGTCAAAGGCCTTGATGAATCGATTCCCATCTGCGTTCGACCCGTTTAGGCACTCCAAACCGACTCCAAAACCTACCTTGAATATCGACTCCAGTGTGTACATCATCAGCAAAGCCTGCAAATTTTGAAAAACTCACCAAATGACATAGAATTCTTCAACTAATCACAGCTAAAGCCAAGAAAAAAAGGCAAAATTGCCCTTATCACGATCTTTTTCTAAATTGCAATTTAATTGCAAATTATACCAACAATCTTTATTTTGTTGTGGATCGGTGCAGCAGTTTGCAGAACCCATGCAAAGTATATCACAATATTCAGTTTGTTTTTTGGCCACATCAGCTTTTCTATGGCTGGTTTTCAAAACCCGTGCACCAATTTGCAACGAACTGAAGATTGTAATATAATTTGCAAAAATTTCGAAAAAAAGTCACGATATTAGGGGCAATATTGCCAAAAAAAAACTGATAACATTAATGTTTAATCATCTTATTTCTTTTGATGATCTTCAAAGCTAATAGTCAACCTTTTTTTTCCACCTCAAAGAAAAAATAAAATACCTGCACATCAAAAGCTCGGCCTTCCTCGGAAAATTTGCGAACGACCCCAACCAATCTTGCCGCGTTTTTCCTGAAAACCGAGCAGCTGAAGTCTCTGAGGACGCGAGTCGAGAACTCGAGGCTGGCCAGTTTCCTCTGCTGGCGCCATTTTTCGCCATCCACAACTAATATTCCCTTCCCAAACAGGTCACTCCATAGTTCCTGATTGTATCTGCCCTTAGTGTAGCTGCCGAAGCTCGTTTTCAATACGTACTCGATGTTTTTCGGCTCAGTCGTGTATATTTCGCTTATGTCAGGCGCAAGTAGTCGAGAGGTCCGGTGCTTCCGGGCAAGGCGCGTTTGGTAGTCGTACAAAGTGTTGTAGTAGAAAAGTTGGCCAAAAACGGTTCCGGTGACCGGAGGGTAGCTCCGGTTGCCGACCGATTTTCCGGCGAAGATTCTTAGGTATAGGCATGAAATTAGTGTGATGATCAGCAAAATTGATGCTGCAATAATGTAGAAGATGATGGCAAAGATGTCCATTCTTAGTATAGAAGAATAAGGAAAAATTGTTGTTCAATAAAGAAAGTATCTGTGTTGCTCTATGATTGTTTGGTGGTTGAAAATATGGTAATTTGTTTAAATTTATATATAACAATACAAAATATTGAAGTCAAAAGTGAAGAATTGGATGTTCAGAAGGGCCATTTCAATTCAACGACAGAATTTATTTAAGATTTCAAAGTTGTGTTGGCGCAATTTTATTGGATAACCAGGTCTGTAGTGGCCACCGTGTTTATTTGCCAACTGCCAACGATCAAAAATTTCAAAGTCAATAAGTATAAATTTATTTTGCCCAATGTTTTTAGACCCAGCCCGAGCAGTGACGGGGTCAATTAGAAAACTGAATATTTTAATTTTAATAGTTTGAAAATTATATGTATAGTTTCTTGTTTCATAAGATTGAATAAAAAAAAATTACACATATATATACATATAAATTTATTTTTAAAATAAAAATATAAAGACAAAATGTAAAAATAAATTAATCGAGTCAAACCGTGTTGACCTGGTCGTGACAACGATTGGGTTGACCTAGTCAATGATAAGTTGGATGGGTTTGACTGGGTTCATGTTACTCGGTCCAAAAGATTTACCAAACCCATCTGAACTCTAGGTCGAATGAGTAACGGATCAACCGCCACATTAAATTACAATTATGTGATTTTGCGTTTTCACCAACTAGTTATTGAATTGTTGAAAAGTACATGAATGGTTAATTTTAACAATCTTATAATAACAACAATAATTGACGCGTATGTAGTATTGTTAAATTAAACGAGCCTAACTCGGCTCGGTTCGCTCAATCTCGGCTCGTTAATGTTCGAGTTCAACTCAGCTCATTTATCAAGCTCGAGTTCATTTAAAGATCGTTTGGTTCACGAGTCGAGCTCGGCTTGGCTCGATAAAAGAATTTTGATATAGTTTTTTATAATCCGACTCATTAAAGCCCGAGATAGGTATGAATAAAAATGAATAATTTTATGTAAATAAAATTGTATCTTCGTCATAAAAAATTTACACATATATATACATATAAATTTATTTTAAATTAAAAATATAAAGACAAAATATAAAAATAAATTAATCGAGTCAAACCGTGTTGACCTGGTCGTACCAATGATTGGGTTGACCTAGTCAATGATAAGTTGGTTGGGTTTGACTGGGTTCATGTTACCCGGTCCAAAAGATTTTCCCAAACCCATCTGAACTCTAGGTTGAATGAGTAACCAGATCAACTGCCACATCAGATTACAATTATGTCATTTTGCGTTTTCACCAACTAGTTATCGAATTGTTGAAAGTACATGAATGGTTAATTTTAACAATCTTATAATAACAACAATAATTGACTCATTAAAGCCCGAGATAGGTCGTTAAGGCTCAAACTTGATTCGTTATTAGTGATAAACGCACTGAGCTCAAGCTCGATTTCAAGATTGTTTATTTAACGAGTCGAGCTCAGCTCAACTTTTCAAGGGCTCGAGCTCGAGCTTGAACACCTTAAGTTCGATGTCGTCTCGACTCGTTTATAGGCCTACCTGTATATAAATTATTTGGCCATAGCATCTCTCAAACTTAAAAGTACAATCTTGACCGGATGGTTTTACAATTTCAAATGTCTTCATTTCCCTCCCATTTCCTAATTTCAATCAAACATCTCAGAACCCTAAATCCCCAAATTGCTCTTTACAAATCTCATCCGAACTCCATTTGCTCCGATGACCGCTCAGCCGCCCAAACCGCCCAAGCAACCGCCCAAAACACCGCACAAGCAATGGTCGCTCTCCGATTTCGAGGTCGGCAAACCCCTCGGCAAAGGGAAGTTCGGCCGAGTGTACCTCGCCCGCGAAGTTAAGGTAAATCGAGCTCACCCAAAAACCTCAACGACGTATCTTATGCTGAATTTTTCCATCTGAAATTGTGTTGGCAGAGCAAGTTCATAGTGGCGTTGAAGGTGATATTCAAGGAGCAGATCGAGAAGTACCGATTGCACCACCAGCTGCGCCGGGAGATGGAGATCCAGACGAGCCTTCGCCACCCAAACGTCCTGAAACTGTACGGCTGGTTTCACGATGACGAGCGTATTTTTCTGATCTTGGAGTATGCACACGGCGGCGAACTCTACCGAGAGCTTCGGAAATCGGGGCACCTCTCGGAAAAACAAGCCGCAACTGTAAGGTCCTCGTTTATTTTCATTTTTATTTTCTTTTCCCTTTGTTGCAGGTTGAGTGAATTTTTTTATCCTTGTTTGTAGCTTGGGAATGTTTAATTCTATGTATTTTGCTCTTGAAAATCAGTACATCTCGAGTCTCTCGCGAGCTCTGGCGTACTGTCATGAGAAGCATGTGATTCACAGAGACATCAAGCCGGAAAATTTGTTGCTTGATCATGAGGTAATGCCCGTTGGTAGAGTGGTAAATCCAATTATTTCATGTCTTTGACTGATTATAAGGTTTGGTGAATGTGAAGTTATGCATGTAAAAAGATTGGATTTGCTGAGCTAATTTATCACGATCATGTCTGTTATATTTCTTCATCCTGTTGGTCGTTTGCTTGTTTGTTTCCTTTTGTCATTTCCATTATGTAACACCTCACTTAAGTGCTTGAGAGAGAGAGAGAGAGAGAGAGAGTTGCTTCATTGCTGTGATAAAAGGCACATCTTTTGCATCCGCAAGAAACTTTAGTTTGTTAAAAGCTAAAATCCACATGCAGACTCAAGTTTTCTTTGAAATAACTTTCATTACATTAAACCTTATAGGGCCGGCTTAAAATTGCGGATTTTGGTTGGTCAGTACAATCGAGAAGCAAAAGGCATACTATGTGTGGCACTTTGGACTATTTAGCACCAGAAATGGTAGAGAACAAGGCCCACGACTATGCAGTGGATAACTGGACTTTGGGTGTTCTATGCTATGAGTTTCTATACGGATGCCCCCCTTTCGAAGCCGAAAGCCAGAACGACACGTTTAAAAGGTAAATTATGGGCACCTTTTGCTCAGCTTGATATATTCAAACATTATGTTATTGGATGATTGGATCATAATGTAATTACGAGTAAAAATTGTTATATGTAGGATTATGAAGGTCGATTTAAGCTTTCCTTCAACTCCTAGCATTTCTGACGAAGCTAAAGATCTCATTAGCCGGGTAATTTCATGAATTAAGATCATCAGTTTTTACTCTCGTTTTTCACTTCCGTGATGAACGACAATCGCCGTGGAATTATTTCCCTTTCTGATTGGCTGTCCTTTTTATGCAGCTTCTTGTAAAGGATTCTTCCAAAAGGCTCTCGATTGATAAGATCTTGGAACATCCTTGGATAGTGAAGAATGCCAACCCCATGGGCATATTTACGAAATAATATAATTGCCTTCGAAAACTTTTATGATACTGACTTGTGTGGTTCGTTGTATGTTGACCGACTTACCAGCTTTGTGTATTTTTATGTAGCGATGGAGGTTTAAGGTGATAGCATTCTGAATGTTGCCTTTGGTTATATTTTGCTCATCTGCTCTTATAAATAGCTTGGTATTTGTGTGTTCGAGAGATTTCTGATGTAGATGTGCGTAGTTATACTTGGCAATGCTTTCTTTAGTTAGTCTGAAGCTTCTTTGTAATCTTCTTGTGTGTATCCTTTTGGGCTAGCAGAAGTTTCATATGTTTCATAGGAGCTGGTTTTTTCTTCAATTCTTTTTTCCTAGCCAAATGAACGGCAGATTTGATCCTGCGAGCGATTGGAAATAGATTTTATCCGGTTTTGACAGGTTGACACTTGGAATATGACATCTCGTGATCTTGAAATCATAACTTGTTCTTACAGAGTTGAATGTTTTCATGTTCGCTATACTTTCCATAGCAAAGACATGTTTTATTGAAAAATACTATTTTTAATTCAATATTTTATTATTTCGTATATGCGCAAATAAATTTGCAAATGTGTATATTTGCAATTATTTAGCAACAGCGACGGCACAAACGTAAATGTTCCTTATAATTTTACAAAGGAAACGAATAAGAGAGAGCTTGAATAAAGCAACTTCGTGTGTTGGCAAGACCAAAAGCCCATTTAATCATCCAACATCCATTTATGATTCATGCAAAAATAAAGTTTCACAACCATATAGCGGATTGAGACAACAAAGATTGAGTCAAGCACAAGTGTTCCTAGGTTGGTCTAAAATTATACACAAGACCAGATCTGATTGCATAAAAAACCCAAACGGAAGTGAACAACTTTTCACTCAGATCATGCATGCAACCAAAGGACGACCATCTCGGCGAAATACAGCCTCCACAAACACCTTCCTGCAATTCAACTCATCAGAATTCCCATTCCCAGCCTCACAGTTTTTGAACAAAAATCCACCAATCTGAAATTGAACAATCAAATTGAATTAGAAGTGACATTTAATTTATCAGAAGAAAAGGAATATCATTAAGTTGCGCATAACTATTGAATTGGAAAAGCTTCATGAAGGGAATCAAAGACACCACAATGGAGACACCAAAGACACAAGCACAAGAAGTCAAAAAAAAAAAAATGTANTCGAATTCATCGAACATATGTTTTTTTGGGTTGAAATAAAATAGACATTACCTTCCTACCAAAAGTAGAAATATACCGAAACTCAATAAAGGGTGATTCGTTGTCAATAAGGTCCATATCAACCTCTTCTTCATCCTGGGTGGGGACCAATCAAAAGAAATCCAACCAATCCACGTGAGCCATCGTTTCCCAAAATCGAACATAAATCAACATGCAATAGTAAATCAACCATCGTCTGTATCATAAAAACAGCTACAGCCCTACAGTCAAGGAGATGCTCTCAACATACCTCAACATTATGTCCAATGGTCTCTGCATAAGAGGTTGCTTGTTTCTTAGCAACGGAAGCAACTAAATATGCGTCATCAGGCTCTACCCTTCTCTTAGCAGCTGAACCAGATTTGACTTCCTAATGGAAAGATCATTCATTAAACACTCAAATATTTCCATTACAGAACAACATTCATTCATTCCACACAAATATTTTCCATTGAATTCATTCAATGGATGCTTAGAAACGAATATCCTTCTCGTGACCCAATTAAAAGCAAACCAACAACAAACATATTACTAACGAATAGTTCGTTATGTATCATAACAACGCCACATGTTGTCGAGTTCATATAATCGAGCCATGCTTCCCCGAATTGAACGCACGGCACAATAGTAATGAAGCAATTGATCCTCAGAATCCTTTTCGTGACCCAATTAAAACAAACAAACAACAGATACATTACTAACTAACATGTTGTCCAACTCAAATACCAGCATCCGAGCCATGCTTCCCCAAATCAAATGATAAAAATCAACACACAGTCATAATTAAGCAACTCATCCTTAGAAAGGAGAATCCTTGACATCATAAAAAAAACATCTAAAGCGCGGCAGTCAGAGGAGAAGAACTCTACGTACCTCCTCGAACATATCAGGATCTGCTTGTTTCTTAAAACAAGCAGCTAATGCGTCATCATCTGGCCCAGGTTTTCTATTCACTGATCCACAATCAAAGCTCGAACCAGATTTCACATCCCGGTCGAGATAAAATCCGGAAAAATTAAAAGAAAAAACCAATTTGTTGTTAACGAAACAAGAAAATTGATTCGAGTCCAAATTTGAGCAATTAAATTATGAAATTAACCAAGGAAGCACCTGATCGAGAGCCTTCATGGTGCTTTGGGGTTGATCGCTTCAAGGTAATTGGAACGCCCGAATTGAAATAGGGTTCTTTTGTCTTCGATGGGAAGTTTTTATTTATAGCCACAGGTAATTGGAACACCCGAATTGAAATAGGTTACTCTTTCCCGAATTGAAATTGAAATAGGGTTCTTTTGTCTTGGAGGGGAAGTTTTTATTTATAGCCACAGGTAATTGGAACGCGGGAATTGAAATAGGTTTCTTTTGTTTACGAAAACTTTTTTGTTTGGTTTGATTTGGTTAATTTTGAAAAATATGATATAATTAGGTATTAGTAAATATATTAAAATAATATTTAAAATAAAATAATTAAAATTAATTTGATACAAGAGTAGAAAAAAGATGATTTGAAGTGATAGTTAATTACAATAATGTGAGATGATGAATAGTCAATTAAGGTTGATCGTTGATGCGTTGTATATGAATGATTGATTGATATTATTTAATTATATTGATAATATTGATTATAGTGGGGTTGAGTTAAAGTTGAGTTAAAAAAAGTGGTTGAGTTAAAATGTTAGATTTTTTTTAAAATTCTTGTAAACAAACATACTCTAACTTGTGGTTGTGGGGAAACTGCCCGATAATTATAAGGGATAAACGTCAACATTTTGTACTATATACATATATCTAGTTCTCTTACACACGGCCGACTCAAATTTACTCTAAAATATAGTGAAAATTTGTCGTCTCTTGAAAATTTCTCTTACTTTATTATATTTTTTAAACATTATTACTAAATTTGATACAAATAAAATTTATGTTAAATAATTTTTGACAAAATTTGACTTTCACAAACTGTCTAAATAGGCGTGTAATTCTTGCACAATTTAAATTAATAGCAACAAAGTACCTAGCGATAAATTTACACATAGTTTTGTTGAGTCCATGATGAGCTTTAAAATTAATGTTCAATTTACACATAGTTTTGTTGAGTCCATGATGAGCTTTAAAATTAACTACTGCACGGGTAAGAAATATTCATTAATATTTATAAATTAAAAATTTTTATTAGATAATATTTATAAATTAAAAATATGGAATCAATATATAATACAATTTACCTATATTAATTTATTGAAAATGATATATAGTTTAAATTGACTATAAATTAAGTAGTTGAGTAATTTACTAAATTATAAATAATTGACTATTTCGTTTACGTCCTAATTACTATTGACTCGTAAGCATAGTTTTTAAACCCGGCCCGGTAATGGACTCGGGCAGTTCCTCGGGTCACCGGTTCAACCGTCAGGTCACCGGGTCAATTATTAAACCGGATAATTAATTTTAAAATTTTTAAAATTATATATAGAGTATTTTTGTCATATAAATATACATAAAAATAACAAAATTAAATGTTTTGTGCATGAAATTTGTACATTAAAGTGTTAATAATATGTAACTCATGATAAATATTTATCATATAAATATATATACATAGTTTTATTTTTAAACAACAAAAAAAATAAAAAAAAAATAAAAAAATATATATGGACCGGGTCAACCGGGTTGACCTGGGGCAATGCCTCGGGTCGGTCGGGTTTGACCGGGTCCTTTGTTGTCCGGTCCAAATAGCCCACCCGGACCGGTTCTGGCTCCGGGTCGACCAGGTCCCGGGTTGACCCGCCGGGCCGGTCCGGGTGAAAAAACAATGCTCGTAAGTTCTGTATAATTATTTTTTTATTTTTAATTTTAAATAATTTATTTTTTCAATATATTATATATCAAACTTAAATCATGCAACTAATAAAGATAATAGCAGCAAGTTTTGTCAATATATAATATATACTAAATTTAAATCATGCAACTAATAAAGGTAATAGCCGCAATATTTGACGAAAATAATTTTGTACATTAATTACATTTAATTTAGTCGGGATTTTTCAAATTTTAGCCAAAAAAATTATCCAATTTAGTAATCTGAATTTTTAAGCAAGAAACTAAATATTTTCTTACTGATTTTTAATTATTATTTCAAGTAAATATCTTTGTCTCTCTATATATTAATAGATAGATTGGTGAAATATTGTTTAAATTAAATATTTTCATAGTTTTTTATTGGCATAAAATAAATTGGAAAGAATTAATCTAACTGTTTAAATGAGCTAAAATTTTATTTTTGTTATTACCAAAATAATTATTGTTTTATTACCAAGACAATCACATTTTAGGTGGAATTTTTTTAGGTGGAATTTAACATAGGCGTAGTGGGATTTTAGGTGTAGTTAAAAAAGTAAAGAGCATATAGATAGACACAACACAAACTTAGTGCCGATATTTTTTCCAAATTGGCCAAACTGCATCCGATTTTCTTTCCAAAGTGGCCGAAACCAAACAGTTCAAATTTCTAAAAGAATTAGAAGCTAATTTAAAGAAGGCGGGATTTTTTAAATTTCGCCAAAAAATATTACCCTATCTAGTAAATATTATTGTTTAGGCGGGAATTGAAATCTTTTTTTTTTTGCTGATTTTATACTTGATTTTTTCAAACAACTATCATTCCCTCTTTATATATTAATAGATGTTCAATTTACACATAGTTTTGTTGTATCCATGTTGTGGTTTAAATGTTCAAATTTTGTTTGGATATAGCAATTTAATTTTTGCTGAATCTATTAATTAATTAATTAATTAACATTATTAGTCAAAATTTTGTACTTTTTAATTGCATTTGTTTTTTTTATTGAACTTTTTATTTGCATTTGTTTTTTTTTTATTGAACTATTTCATTGACAAAAACAATAAGGTCAACTACATCTAGACATGGCCACGGGCCACCCGGCCCGCCGACCCGGTCAAACCCGTTGACCACGGGTCTGGGCCCGACTCAAATTTCCAGCGGGCCAGTCCAGGGCCTTGGTTTTGTCGACCCTGGCCCGCCGGGTTGGGCCGAGTCTGATTCGGGCCGGGAAAAACACATTGGTTTTAAACTTTTTTTTTCTTTTTCTTTTTTTTAACAAAATTGATCGGGCCGGGTCGGTCAGGTCATGGACACGGCACGACCCTAGGTCTGTGCTGGTTCAGGATCAACCCAACCCTTCGGCCTGCCGGGCTAAAAAATTTATGTTTGTGAATTGTGTGATGTTTCTGTTGATTGTATGTATGTATGTTTGTGAAATTTGTTTTCTGTTCGTCCGATTAGGAGAATAAAATGCATAGTTCTGAATTCTGAATGGGGAATTTATATCATTTGTTCATTCTGTACGCAATGTTTTTTTATTATTATTTTTTATTTCTAGTAAACAATTCTAAAAAATTGTTTTTAAAAAAATTCGATTAACCGATCGGATAATTCGGTTTTGTTATACATCTATACTTATATTAAAGGGGGTACTATTTATCAAATTAAGTAGCCAGAAAAGTCAACAGCATTTATTGCATTACTATTTCCGTATTATACTATATAAAAGGATATTCTATTTACTACATTTACTATCCAGAAAAGTCAACTGCACTAAATGTCATTACTATTTTGGTATTATAATATTTTATTTATTTAATTGATTTATTTATTTGTTTTATTTTAAAAAGGTAAGTATAATAAAAATATTTTAATAATAAAAAAATCAAATACCAAATAAAAATGTACACTTTGACTTATTTGATTATATTTGGTATTTGATTATACTAAATATATTCCTATTTAGTATATACATTAAATACTTACTAAAGTATTTATTTGTTCTATTTGTCAAAGTTAAGTATAGATTTGTTTATATTATCAAATCATAAAAAAATATTAAATCCATATTGTAAAAAAAAAAAATCATATAATTTTATAACAATTCTACTACACTATTTAACAATATTTCTTTTTTATTATATAATAAAATAATAATTAAATATTATATGGTGAACAACAATAAGTAAAAATGTTACTTTCTCTTATATTAAGGGATAAATTTATATACTAAAATTAAATTTTTATTAGTATAAATATTTTAGTGTGATAATATATTAATTATTTTACAAGCTAGCCCTAACATGCTCATATTTAATGTTTTAAAAGATGTAGAAAAAAAGCTTATAATAACTTTAATATTTTTTAGACTTAAACGTTGATTAAAAGAGATAAAAATTCTTAATTTTTTAGACTTAAACGTTGATTAACACCATAGATTGAGAGTTTATATTTAGTAAAATTCCTAATTGTAGTAAAAAAATTAATTTTTGCTATATTTTAGAATATCTTTAAATTCATTATTAAAAAAAAGAAAAAAAAACTACAATGAAAAAAGCAAGTCAGCTATATATCGATTTGTTGTACTCCTCAAATCATATTCACAATTTGGCTACAAGGAAAGGAAACTCATTGATTAAAATATTATTTTGTCAGTAATCTTAATGTACAAGAGACTTTAAGACTCCACTTGAATATTATAAAACTTTTATTGAACATTGTACAATTTCTTGCGTATTATAAACTTTTATTGAATATTGCATCTTATAATATAATATTCTCTAAATAAATATATCTCGTGCTTCGCACGGGTCACGTACTATATATATCGCGTACATTTTTCTTTATTCATGTATATAATTATAAGTCTGGATAAATAGCCTTAAAATTGTGCACCCCATGCATCGCACGGGCTCTGTACTAGTTGGTTTTAAGGGCAAAGAGAAAGAATGGCTCCATACTAATTCAAAAGGCGAGCACATGGGTCGGTTCGGTTTTTGACATATAGTAATTCGGTTTTTGTACTTAGGTAATTACAACTGAAAAGCCCATAAGAATTGGCCTGATGGCGACTGACGCCGAGAACAAGCCAGAGAAATCGCTTCCGAGAAGGCAAATCAAGGAAGACGATACGAAAAGGCACCGTTCAGTATTTGAAGTGCCGCCGGACTTCTTCAATTCCTGCCGCCTGCTGCACTCCCCTTTCTCTGCCCCGCCGGATTCCGCCGCCTATGACCTAGAAGAACCGAAGCCGGAGAAAAAGGTTAGCCTAAGTAGCAGTAGAAACAATATCAGCGGTACCGATGCTCAAGCCCTGCAAAAATGGTCTTGCAACACTTGTAAGGCGGAATTTGAGTCTCTCCAAGACCAGCGATTTCACTTCAAATCCGATCTCCATCGTTTCAATGTATGTATGCTTTTTTTTTTCATCATATGAATGCATTTATTTCCTTCTCTTTTAATTGTTTAGCAAAGGGCCCGATTTTGAGTAGGAAAAATTGAATCTTTGATGATTAATTTGACTTGGATAAGTTGGGTTCGTTTCTAATTTCCGGGATAATTTATTTAGCAACCGATTATGCTTCCGTTAGTTTGGGTATTGTATCTGGTATTGAAAAATTAGTTTCTGGCTCGAGATTCATTAGTTCTATCTCTAGTTGCTAGTATTAAATTATTGATTATGTGATTTTGAATCTGAAAAATGTTTTTTATTGTATCATCATACACCCATCTGTAAAAAACCCGATTATGGCAGTTGGCAGAATCCCCAAAGGCTATCTTATTTGCGTCTAATTGGGATTATTCATAAGAATCTCAATTGTCTAGTTATTGTGACAATTACTCTTATCTTAAAAAAAAATGATGAATTAGCAATTTCTTGCTGTAGCACTGTCCCTTTTGTATCATTGTATCAGTTGTGATTTCCCTTTGCTTTTTGTTGCAAGCAAGAATGTGCACTGGTTGTAATTACTGTCTTTTTATTTCATATCTTGGTTTATGTGAAAAGTGTGTGATTACAGATAAAGCTAAGCGTTGCTGGTAAAAGTACTATTAAGGAGGAAGATTTTGACGGAGCAGCATCGGACTCATTGTGTAAAGACTATGATGTATCAAGTATTTCGGGATCGGATGATGAGGATGAACGAGAAATTGGTCTCTTGTCTGACAGACAAAGGGAATTCGGGGGGTTCTTAAAAAGTAAAATACTTATAGAGTTGCAGAACGGTGAGAGAGTTTCGATTTGGAAATGTTTACTGTTAGACGAGTCTGAAAATATTTCGTTCGAAGATGATAAGTCCGTTTCCACGGATAGGGCCGGAGTTACACATTTGACCCAGAAAGAGGTGAGTGAAAAACTGAAATACGTACTTCGTGAACCGAGAGATGGTACGTGTGTGCGGATCGTTTTACTCGCTAGGGGTGGACATTTTGCTGGATGTGTGTTCGATGGCAATTCCCTTTTGGCTCATAAGACTTTCCACAGGTTAGTTCTTCATTTTTTGTTGGATTTTTTGGTTTGTCTGAATTTTCTGCCCTACTGATGTGTAAATGTCACTCTAGAGAACCTAAATCAGCCGTTATTGATTAATTAGGAAAGTTCTCAGTTGAATTGCTTATTTGCATTTTGTATTTGCATACCGCCCCTTTTTTTTAAAATTTTCCTTATCATGGTATATATGGAATTAGCAAAAATACACTTTCCATGTAGATATGTAGTTAGAGCAAAGGCTGGGAAAAAGCAGTCGTCAAAAGATGCAGGTGGCAGGTCTATTCATTCTGCTGGAGCTTCACTTCGTCGATATAATGAGCTTGGATTAAAAAAGGTTTGTTTGTTCATGATTTGTTAAGTTTAAAGGGCTCATAATATAATATATACTATTATAATAATGTTAATAATAATAATATTATTATTACTCTCCGTAACTAATAGACTTTGCACCACTTCTCAAACTAATCACAGAACAAAGANTTCTTGAATAAACCAGGATATTCAAGAATTACTTGCTTCATGGAAGTCTCATTTTATAGCTGCCTCCTGTGTTTTTATCTACGCCCCTTCAAATAACCGCCAACTCTTTTTCGATGGGGATAATAAACCTCACTTCGCCTGTCAACATCGTGCAATCAGAAATATTCCCATGACTGTTCGGAGGCCCACATTCAAGGAAGCTAAAAGAATATACGGCCTATTGATACAAATTTCCCCCGAGATAAAACATGAAATGTCTTCTAATAGCAATGAGGGAACTAAAGTCAGTAAATTGGAGTCTGGAGAAAATTCGGAGGGAACTAAAATCAGTGAGTCTTGTTCACTTGTGAATGAAATTGATGGTTTGACTTTATCGGCCGAGTCGAAAAAGAATGATGCTTTCGGCACGTCAACGCCTTTACATGAAGCTGCAAAATCTGGGGATTCCGAAAAAGTCTTGGAACTTCTTGAAGAGGGTTTAGATCCGTGTGTCAAGGACGAAAGGGACCAAACGCCTTACATGCTTGCAAACGATAAGGAGGTGAGAAATACTTTTAGGCGTTTTATGGCTCTTAATCTCGAGAGATGGGATTGGCATGCTGCTAAGGTGCCGAGTGCTTTAACGAAGGAGATGGAGGAATCTCAAGCTGCTAAGCAGGTAAACATATTGGATTCTTACTGATTCGCTAGAATAGTAGGATTTTGGAAATAGTATTTAAACTAAAATAATGATGTGATATGATGGCTAGTTAAAATTATGTGAGTGCATGAATAATGAATTACAGTTGATGTAATGTGTAAGAATTAATGGATATTATTTAATTATATTGATTATATTGAAGATAGTGGGTTTAGTTTAAAATTGAGTTAGATTTGAGCTAAAAAAAAGTGGTTGGTTAAAAATGATTGAATTTTTTTTGGAAATCTTGTGTCCAAGCATGCTCCAAATTCTTTCGAGCTTGATAATTTTTTTCATTCACTCAATATTGCTTGCTTTGTATTGCCTCGATTTCGTTTTTTCCTAATTTTGTTTTGTATGAATTGTGTAACGACGAACCAGGCGGAGAAAGATGCCAAGAGAAAAGCAAAAGCAAAAGAGTTGAAGAAACTAAAGAAAGCAAAAGAAAAAAAGGCCCAGGTTAGTTTCATAATAAATGTTGAAGTACTTGTTTAGATTCTTTCCAGGTTTACTTTTCCGAAACGATGAAGATTAGTGCTCGTATTTGTCTGACTATATTTTATATCATTTTCTTTGCCTTTCTGAAAAAAAGCAGGTGGATGCAACTCAATCCCCGAATGATACGGGTATAGCTGCAAGTGCCTCGGTTTCTTCTTGTGAAGGTCACAGTTCTGCTGTAGCTTCCAAAGAGGTATTTTGCAATTTCTAATCACCACTTCATAACATTTCTGTTAAGTGAAGCAAAATAAAATCGGCTTGAGATTTCCAAACGCCATACCGTTGATTACTAATTCATTTTAACGTGTATTTCCCTGTGATTCCTCCTATCATGCTGTTAGTTATTCATGTCTAATCGTTTTCTTCTGTGTTCTTACTCAAAATCGCCCTTTTTTTTCCCACAAAGGGGACTGCTAATTTATCTATTTCTTTTTCGTATGAATTTACTAAATAGGTGGAACAAAGAAGAATCCAAGAGGAAAGGGAAAAGAGAGCAGCCGCTGCCGAGAGACGAATGGCAGCATTAGCAGCCTCAAGAACACAAGAAACGGCTTCTTCTAGTTCGATGACAAACAATAATGATAATAATATTAATAACGTTGGAGATGATATGTCGTGTTCGTGCTGCAACGTGTCGTTGGCTGGTAAAGTGCCTTATCATCGCTATCAGTACAAATACTGCAGCACTTCTTGCATGTTTGTGCACAAAGACCTCCTTGACGAAGGGTGACCATATCTGAGCTCGTTCTCCACATTTTTATCCCTTTTTTTTTTTCTCGACCTATTTTTGTCTTGGTTACAAAAATAAATGCGTTTCCAATGTGATCATGTTCTTTTTTTCAAAAATAGTGCCACATTTGATAATATAATTATGGATTTTCATTCATAGAAAATTTGTGATTTTGTTATGTGTAAAGTGTCCAATCAAGTCATCCCTATAGCTCGTCCCATATGTGATTTCAGCCAGTTTTCAAGTAGTTCAATTTTATGCAACTGTTGGATTACACATTCTCACTATCCAACGGTAGGCAATACAACAATTTACTTCAGCAATAAACATGAATTGCATTGCCAAAATAAACTGAAATATTCAAACCATTATTTTTCAATCCTTCAAGCATCATTTTTCAAGGTTAGTCCATTCAATAATACAAGTTGGCCATCAACAACAAATCTCACTCCACAACACTAAACCGTAGGAAATGAAAAGAAACAAAATCATCACATCTTCAACACTTGATAGAAGATAGGTAAAAAAAAACAGATCTTTAACCACAATACAATTGAATTTAAAGACCAAGAACTAAGATAAACCATAAATCAACCATTCATAATAAATAAAAGTTAGTACATTTGCAATTAAAAACAGAACACCTAAAAATTGTGCAAATAAACATGAATTCATAGATGAATTCATTTCTTAAAAGATAAACGAGCTTAAGGTGGTTTAGATAACACCAAAAAGTACCATAACATTACATCATAATAAACCATAAATTCTTTTCATAAAACAAAAAACCATGGACATAATAACTAAACCCACAAATCAAAAGCTGTCCACTGGCGCCTAAATTACAAAATAAAGCTTAATCAAATACCTACATAATTATATTAAAGCAAGCTGCATAATAACCAACCTTCAGTGGCCCCTCCTGGACTTCAAAACCTTCAGAAATAGCTTGGCCTTTTCAAGCTTCACCTCATAATGCCTCAAAATGACCTTCATCTCTTCAATCTCTAGCTTCTTCAATTCGTCATCAGAAGAAAACTCATTTTCTACACCAGAAGACATTTGGGTCGTTGAGGGCTCCGAGTCGATTTCATTGCCGGACGAGGAATCGTCATCGTCTTCCTCGCCGGAAGAGGTTTCAGATAAGTCAATTTCCTCGCCGGACAAGGAATCGTCGTCGTCTTCTTCCTCTGCGAAAGAGGCTTCAGAAGGGATGTGGTCCTCGGGCTTCCGTTTGTTGGACATTTTTGTGAGAGAAAAAGAAAATATTAAATTAGGGTTTTCGGAAGGCGGATGAATGAGTGAGATGGGAGGGATCGAGAGAAATATATAGAAGGGTCATTAGGGTTTGCATTTTAATTAGAAAGTTTAAAGGGTGGCTTTTGATATTCCCGAAGATAATCGTGTACTCCCTCCGTTTCTTATTAAATGTCGTTTTAATTTAAAATTTTTAAATTACGATTTTAATGGGTTGTGTAATAATCTTATTTTTTAATCTTATTAAATTTAGTTTTTGAATTATTAATGGGTGATTTTTAAAGATAATGATAAGAGATAATGTTTGTTAAAGAGAATAAAGATGTAAGAATGAATATAATATTTCCAACGACAATTAATTTGCAAAAAAATTGACACCCTACAACGACATTTAAAACGAAACAGAGGGAATTATTTTGGTGTTGAATTACAAAACTTTAAAGAGAGATCATTTTAAAAAGAGCAATATCATCTTCTTCATGATTAATAGCATACAATATCATTTTCATTAGATTAATATCATACTATTAATTAAATTTTTTATTTTCATTAGATTAATAGCGTACAATATCATTTTCATTAGATTAATAGCATACTATTAATTGTTGTTGATGGCCAACTTGTAATATTGAATGGACTAACCATGGAAAATAGATATTTTACATGACACACGAGCCTAATAATTAATTAATCCAAATCATAAAAGTATGACAAATAGGATACCGAAATATTCAAGTCTAGCACAACTGAAAAATATATAGGGGTCTCATTTACTTTGTGGAATAGGATATAACAAGATAATGAAGCTAACTTTACATGTCAGCAAATAATCTCATGTTTACTTTGTGGGATAATTGTAAAAAATTGAAGAAAGGGGATAATTGTATCCGGCCTCCCCCACGAGATACATTTTATCAGCAAATTATAGTGCATGGGACCCGCATGCCACATGAGTGCCAAATAGGATGAGTCTTATCCCTGTCATATAAAGTAAACACATGATATGTGCTGACAGATTTAGTTGTCTTGTCCTATCACTGAAAGTAAACGAGGCCAGGAGGAATTATATGCTTTTCTATTATAAGATATAATTATAATATATGTTTTTTTACAATTTGATTTATTTTTGTTTTCTTATTATTTGATTTCTTTGTATTGTATAGCAAGTATTTGCGGATAGCCAATAGCATATTGTAATAGCATATTTGACCAATTGATTATATCAGGCATTTGGAAATAGATGTATGGTATTGTCTGGTAAATATCGGATTGTTTAGTCAGATTAGTTAGTATCAGTGGATTGTCATAGCATATTTTGACCAGCGAATTGTATTAGTTAGGGTTGGTTTCAGTTCAATTGTCGAACCGAACCGACTATATCTGTTAAATTTGGTGTCATGAAGAAATTGAGCATCCATTTTAGAGCCTGATTATGCTTGCTGGCATTTTTGCTATAGGCCTGAATTTCAATGGGCTCGAGTATTGAATATGGCCCAATTTAATTCACCCTGACAAACAACTTCACTACTTACATATATGCCTTGCCTTCCATTTCTGCTATGCCAAAGCGCTTTTGAAGCTTGAAAAAGATTCCTTTTTTCTTTATCTGTAATTAAGGCTATGAAGGTAAACCTTAAAAACGATGATCTGTAGTTGGCCCTAAAAGAATAGTTCCAGCAAGTTACCACTACCATTTTTCCTTGGGTAAAACACCAGCAAAAGACAACAGTAACAATCAAATATGGGCAGATAGAAACAGGGGATTAAGGGGTCAAATGAATCTATAAGCAATGTTTGGCAGTTGGACCTTTGTACAAGTTCATCATACGTCACATTGACATAACTAATCAACTATATATATATATTACTATATTAGATAAGAAGACTAGTTTTTCTAACAGCTTACATGCCCTTGACTTCAAACTTGCATACTCAAATTTGTTGTACGACCCCTGTGAGCATTGAGCACAATAGACTACATATGTTTAATTTGTTTAAGATTAATTTTTTTAACCTCCCAACCACTACAACCACTATATTAATTTGTTAATCAAGTCAATCAAATTTATTAATGGTTAGGCCAACCATTTCTCAACCAAAACTCCGGTAATTTCCTAAGAGCATCTCCAATGCTATAAGTGTGAAAGACTATTATTTTTAACACATGTCAATTAGTGATTGTAATGTTAATCCACATTGGAATAATGTTAAAAGACTAAAAATTTCAATGAAACTAGTATCTCCAATGCATCAATTCGATAAGAAGTTATTTGTATAGGTGGACCAATTAAATAATTCATTGATATAAAAAAAATAAAAAATTAAAACAAATATAAAGTAAATTGATGAGTCATCATGTTTAACATGGTGTTAGATATTAGAAAGTGGGCTCAACATTGTCAACATTAAATAACATCCACCTCATCATGAAAGAGTTCATGACAAGATGCATTGGAGAAAAAAATAGAGATATACTTTCAAAAGTTGATGATATGAACGACTTTTTTATAATGTCAAAAGTTGCATTGGAGATGCTCTAACCACTTGATGTCAACATTAATTAATTGGTGGTTTAACAAATTGACTACCAAGTTGCTCCAATGTATAT